AAAGGAAAGGAAAGGAAAGGAAAGGAAAGGAAAGGAAAGGAAAGGAAAGGAAAGGAATGTTTATTTATAATCTCTTCCTATTTTGCTGTCAAAGTTACAGCATAATTGCAAGGTTTCTTTCCTTTAAAACCAACCACCTCAAAACTGGGAATATCTGGATTTGCCCCTGAACTGGCATTTCTGCACCCTTGGGCATGATATAGGGCTCTTCCAGACAACCAGCCTTTACACATCCAAATTCTTCCAAATGAGCTTAATGCCCCCAGGACTGACCTAAGATCTGTTTTAACATCAGGACTTTATAATCACAGGCACATTTCTAGATGGCCAAAATCCTGAAAAGGGCTTGCTTGCCCAACCATAATCAAATGCCCTCTCCTACCCCCTTTGAACCCCCTTCCCTTCCCTCCCCTCCCCATCCCTCCCACCCCTCCCCAAAAACTAAAGTCAATAAATGGCCAGGATCTCCTTTATATTTCTGTTCCTGTCTTTATGGCAAACCCATTTTATCTTCACAACCCCTAGTGCTGGCATGTTGTCATCTTTCTAACAATGCCAGCGCTATGATGGGATTGCAGAAGTCGGAGGCAGGATAAGCTCTGAGGATTAAACCCATTCTGATTTCTGAAGCATCATTCACAGCCTTGCAATGGCATTTCCCCTGACCACAGCTAATGGCCAGAGAGATGTCGATACCTGTTTGACAGAGGCCCCTCTCACCCACTGGCTGGATTTTGCCTTTGTCTGTAAGACTTGGTTAAGCGTGCTGTAAATCTAGCCCATTTGGCAAACATCATGATTCAGTGTGTGTCATTTGAACCCAGGAACTAGATCTGGTCAGTAACCCGGTCAAGAACTTTTGGAACTCACATGTGCCTATTACAGCAGGTACTTCACTGTTCTTCTGAGGAACATCTGCTGGATCAAAAACTGGATTAACTGGGGACAGAAAAGATGCAATAAACAAGACAAAATCATGATATTCTGCAATGAACAGTTGCCCGCATTCACATGGCACATCAAGTCATAATGAGGGTTGCTTTATCTAGGCTTAGAGTGTTGAGTTAACCTAGCCATTGTATTTTGTAAATGATATGGAAACCCAGTCTATTGCAAATTTATCACTAAGTTAAACTGAATTTAGTTTAGTGTAGTGTGTTAATCCTGCCACAAACACCACTACACAAAGTTGATTAATGCATTTGGCAAATCATAGCCTGCTTATCCATGGTTTCTTGTACAAGTTGCAGTGAGCAGGTTCATACAAACCAAACTAACTGCATTATGGCTTAGTGTTGGGGTTTCCCCCATGCACCAGGGACATCAATCTGGTTGAAGGCATCTCCTTTGGTGCCCAGCAGGCTTTACCTGCCCCATCTAACTTTTTACATTCAAAAATAAAAAAATAAAAACTTGCTGCAAAGCAAAGCGTTGTCTTCCTGCATTATTTTTATTATCCATCCACAAAAAAGTCAGGATGGTGTCTGGGGCTGTGCAGTCAAAATCCTGCCCTTTTTTTATATGCACAACACAGTTTCCTTTGCTAAAATTAGTATGTAAGATATTTTGCTATTTTGAAATCTGAATCATTTGACACAACTCCTCTGAATGCAATGTCTCTTATAAAACAGCATAAAAATCAAAACACATAAATGTATAAAAGGGCTTCTTTCTATGGGATTTGCACCTGAATCAGTTCAAGCCCCCTCTTCCCTGCACAGTCCCTGGAGAGGTGTGCTAGTGGAACTCACTGTGAGCTTGAATTATCCGGGAAATATTGAGTCCCTCCTTCACACGCATCATGCACACTCCATATTTGAAGTCAAAAGCATCACTGGAATGGGGGAAAAAAGCAATGCAGAATCAATATCAGCATGAGGGAGATTTTCTAGAGGTGGGCAGTCTAGGAGCATGTGCACACGTGCCTTGCTTTGCTGGAAGTTTTGGTGGAAGTTTTACATGTGCATGCACGCTCAGACTAACAACTGGGGACAGCCTTCCAGAGGACATCAATAAGGAGTTTTTATGCAAGAATTAGGAGCAAAGAACAGACTCTTGGAAATTGCTATGAGAACCTCCAACCCTCATATATTATAGAGATCTTAAGGTGGAGTCTCTGATCATTTGGAATCCCTTCTTCCTGGCCGTTCTGCAACTTCAATGCTTTGAGGAAAGTCACTTCATGGGTGGTGGTGCACTGTGCCAACACCTTTTCTGAATGCTTTGCAGGGCCTATTAAGATTGTCTTAAAATCCACATGGCAACTTCATCACAAAATAATCTCTGTTCCCCAGCAGGATGCTCTGCAGATGCATTGGAACAGGAGCTCCCAGGATCCAATGCCAGCAACATCAGAAATCCTGTTTGCCCCCCACAAATCTGGAGGGCATCCAACTGGGGAGGTTAAAATAAATAAATGCGCATTTTAGAATCCTTTGATATATCAAGAATGGAAAAGATGAATGCTTTATGCAAGAAGTGGGATCAATATGCAATCTGTAATCCATCATGAATGACTTCTCACTTGGCTGTCTCAAGCAGACTAGAGATTGTGGCTTATGCCTTCAAAAATTTTCCCAGATGAAAAGTTCTCTGGCCAACAACAATTAAGGGAGAGGTTTTGCATCCCCATTAATTGTTTTATTTATGACTTGTTGATTTCTAAACTTGGGACTCTATGTTTTGACCAGAAGCTCCAAAACATCTCATTAACTTCAATCCAACACATCTGGAATGGGTACCTTTTGTACTTTCTGCCCACACAAATGGTCTTGTATGGTCCCCAAGGTGACCCACCTGCCCAGCATGTCTGTTGGTTTTGCGAAAGGAGTTGTTTCATCTAGAGGAGCACTCTGACATTGGAATGAGTGAGCCGGCCTGTCCCTGAACCATTTTCCTTAAGGAAGGCACTCTTAAGCCCATCCTACTCCTTTTTACTATAACTGTGTGCTTTTTTCGAAAGGACATCCACAGCCAAATAAACATCTGAATATACATTTCTAAAAGCACCTTCTCTCTAAATAATCATGCCTGGATGTATTTTGATCTATTTGAAGAGCTAAAAACCATGATGTAGTTTTTGGAGAGATGTAAAATCCAGTCAATATTAAGTTTGAACACATGCATTATTCCAGTAAATCATCTAGATAGGGTGAATGCAACTGAAAATAGCCGCAATTGATTTATAACACCTTCCTGAAGCCAATATTGGATTTCAAGACATCTTGAGAAGACCAGATTTGGGAAATATGACTTATAAGATATTTAATGCAACAGCCAATTGTACTCACTGCAGAATTCCGATATATTCTTCCACTGTCTGGGGATGAGCTGCCTGCCAATTCTTCTTGTATCCAATCACAAGCACATTGGGTTTCATTCTCCCAAGACCTGAGGCCTTTATCAAAGAAATAGATGGCCTTTTTCTTTTTAGGTAAAAATATTTTTCCACACCCCTTATTACCCACCCTCCTGCACACTTTACTCTCTATTCATAGACTAGAAAGTGGGAGAAAATTATCCTGAGGCAAGGGGAATTGCGTTGACATAAGCCCAACTCATTAGCAGCACACATGAGAACATGTTGGTTTTCATTGGGCCTCAGAGTTGGAGAGCCTTGCTCTGAAATGACTTTCTGATGATTATTTCCACTTCCAGGACAAAAAAAAAAAAAAGGCAAGGATATAGATGAGTTGGGTAATGAACTTCTCTCCTTAATTGCTTTTGGAGCCAACAATAGCCTCTTAAAGAATTTGAGACTCAGCAACCCTACTCATATCTGGGTGATATATGACCGGTGAAATGTAGATAGATTCAAGTCAGTTCTGAGCATGGAGCCCTTTTCAAACCAAAAAAAAAGGATCTTATGTTATCACACATCTAGAAAAGTAAATTCTCTACATGTGCTACAGGAGTCATGTTGATTACCAAACATTGCTTCAGAACTAGAACCAAGTGACAAAGGTGGCAGTTCTCAGAAGTCCACATTTTTGCCCTGACTTCTAGCCCAGGCCAAAAAAAAAAAAAAAATGGCTGTCAATTCCCCTCTCTTGGATAAAGGTATCCCATGTGCGTTTATATATCAGAAGAAGTCCAAGCTCTTGCCTGAAAGTTGTACATGAGTATGGTTCAGATCAAAGTACTGCAGATCTACTCGTATTCAGAACATAAAGCATGTCCAAAGAGACCGAGATGAGGGTCCCTGGTTGAGCTAAGCCATGATATGTTAATAATAGCTTATTCAATAAGTCACCATTGGCCAGATTTGTAGAAGATGCAAAGCTGACACCAACCCAATCTCAAGATATGGACAGTGCCCTCTCTCCTAGGGTTCCAAAAAGCACTTAAGACCTGGCTTTGGTCTCAGGCCTGAAGTTGATGTGTTTGTGGGTTTGATTTGTTATGGTTTGATTGTTTTAGTCCAGACTGCCTGTGGGGTTGTATGTTTTTGACTGGTTTTATTGTTTTGTGTTTGTAAGCCGTCTAGCGTCTATGGGAGTGGGCGGCTATAATAACTTTAAACAAACAAATAAACACTGAGATGGCTTAGCAGGTTGTGCAAAGAGTATAGGAAGACTCAAGAAGTATTATGGACAATAGGAGCAAAGATGTATGAGAAGCATGTAAGAATTCCTCAACTTGAGCAATTGCAGGTCAGAGGACCCTGCCAATCATCAGCATTTGAAGACCTCAACTTTGATTTTACCTGCATAAGGACTTGCGCTCCAGTTCTCAAGTCCTCTGCTAAGATGTCTGTATAAAAAGCTTTGATCTTTCTCTTGATTAGCCACTTGGTGTGGCCTTTGGAAGCAAGTCCCAATTCAGTCTTCACCTGTTTGCAGGGCCCCTGTGAGAAAGCAGCATGAGAAGGTGTCAGAATTACAGGAAGACTGGAAGAAAGGTCATCCATGCAGGACCATCTACAGGTGCAGGGTCAAGAAGTCAAGACAGTGGCCACAAACATGCAAATGAACCCTTTTCTTTATGTGCATCACACATAAAATCCAGGTATTAATTTCAGGTTCAACCTTGCTTAGCTGTTTGAGATCAGCCAAGGTTGGTTAGGCGCTTCTACCATGCTGAGCATTTAATTTAAAGCTTAAGCTGAACAGGGTTTGGATTTGGTTTAGGATTTTGCTTCAACCCAGTAATTGGAGTTTGTGAGCCATCATTTATCAATTCAGTCAGTCAGTCAGTTGTGGTGTATGTAACAAGTAATTCCTAAACAAACCATGGCTTGGTAGAAAGTATGAACCCAATCACTGAGTCCAAGAGAAAGAATCCATGTCTCATTGGCTGTGTTCATACAACATGCTTTAAAAAGTGGGCTGGCATGCTAAGATTGTTTCATTGCTACCCATAAGTTTTGCTGTGGCTTAGTAGGTTTGTTTTTTGATAGCACAACAAAGAGGGCCAATTAATTCTGAAATTATATTAAGCAAATTGGGCGAAGGCAGACTTTTCTTCTTCAAAAAGTCAACATCAGCTTTTGATTTCTACAGCGATGGCTCAACCTAGGAGATGAACACAGTTCCACACAGCATGCTCAGAGTGTCTTTCCCACAAGACTAAGAATCTGTAAGCCCATCTCAGCTACATGATATTTTTAAAAAGCACTTTGCTCGCCTCATTATATAAAGGGATCAAACATTTTCCTACCGAAATTGTCCTTTCCAAGAAAGAAAGAAAGAAAGAAAGAAAGAAAGAAAGAAAGAAAGAAAGAAAGAAAGAAAGAAAGAAAGAAAGAAAGAAAGAAAGAAAGAAAGAAA